ATTCAGTCATGGGGAGTTATTTGCAAAGACTCGCAGCCCCTGGGAGGAAAGCGTGGGCTCCTCTAAGAGAGACAGGGCTTTGGGGGGCCATGCTCTGAATAGAGGGTTTCACCTCCCTCCATGGCTGAGCCAGCAGCCACCAGAGGTCTGGGCTCTTGATTGTTTACTGGGGAATGATGGGGGAGCACCCAGCCCTGCTCAACCCAGGCCTGGAGGTCCCTGGCGCCCCCTTGCCTGCCCGACGCCCACCCCCACTGGCTTGCATAACCTGAGCCTGGGCAGCCAGGGCAAACACGGCTGCTGAGCCAGGAGCGCCAAGGTGAGGCTGAATCAATAGTCTGCGTGCTGTTTTTTCCTCCTTCAGCAAACAGACAGCAGGACCTCTCTGCTAGGGGCCACCTAACTGTCCCTACATAAGGCCCCTGATTATCAAGAAGCCAAGCCCCCTGGGATGGGGGAGAAATGGGGGAGTCCTGTGCCCACAGCACCCTGATACCATTACCACTCCTATGGCCCAGCCCCAAAGGAGGCCACTCTTTTGCCAGATGGTGAAATGAAGGCACCCCAATTTGCACAGGCCCTAGAGAGGTGGGCAAGCCAGCTTGCCACTAGAAACCCCCACTTCTCTAGGGGCTGCCCTTGGCCACACCAGCCTCCCTGGCTGCTGTGATCCCGCCCCGCAGGCTGGGGGCACTCCACACACAACTCCGGGAGTATTTTCAGTTTACACCAAAATAACCTGACAGCTGATGGTAGGAGATAGCCACGATGCAGGTCCTCCACCCCTAATGGCAGAGTCCACAGGGCTCCCGGGGCAGGCAGGGGCCACGGCCCATGGTGCCTTGGGGGTGGGGGGGAGGTGATCTAGAAAGCCAGTCTGAGCAGCAGCTGGGCAGCCAGAGGCCCCAGCCCTAAGGGGGGTGAAGGGACCCAAGCCCCTCCTTGACAGAGGATGTGGGTACTGAGGCAGAGCCATATAGGGCCACCACAACAGCTCCCTCCTGGGTCCAGATGTCATGCAACCCCTACCTTTCCCACAACAGTGCTATGAGCCCTGCTGGAGCCCCCACCAAAGCTGGGTTCATCTGGCCCTGGCCCAGGTTCCGGCCCACTGTGGGTGCAGCCGCAGCTGCTTGACGTTAAAGGTGATTAACCAACTATTTAATTACCTTGCAGCACCCGGAAAGAAAGCAGGTTTTACATCCAATCAAACAGTCCCCCAAGAAAGGGGGCATTCCTCCCTCTGCCCAGCGATCCCAGTCATGGGGAGGGGTGGATATGGCCTTCAGTACCCCCAAGTCGCCCAGACAGCTTTGCCTCAGCATCCGGGACAGGAGGAGGACTCCCCCCAAAAGAGCGAGAGCTCAGAACAATGAATGAATGGGCTTCTCCCCACCCCCACCCCAGACTCTGACTCACCCTCTGAGTCCCAGTTTGTCTCCAACCCCGAGGCTTGCCGTACTGCTCGCCTCCTGTGATCCCGACTCACATGGGACTCCGCTCTGGGCTGTGGCCAGAGAGCCCGAGTGCTCTTCCTGGCTGTGCTGGTGGGCAGAGCCCTTCTCTCCAGCCCCAGAACCCTATACCCAGACAGCTACTCCCAGCCAGCCACACTGTACCTACCCCAGATACCACCGCTGCTCCCCAGGCACTGGGGGGTCTGGCTTGGACACACAGAAAGCCACTCCACTCAAGGACCACTTGGAAACCAATTGGTCTCTCCAGCAAAGAGACTCCAAGCCGTTCCTATTAAAGACGCTGGGAGGTCCCTTCTTAACTCTGACGTCTAACCCCTGTTCCACTACGACTTGCTGCGTGATCTTAAACAAGTCATTTCCTCTCTGTGCCTCAGTTTTCTTGTGGTAAAAACTGCTAGACGGGCGGTTTTCAAACTTTTTTTTTTAAGCCACGAAAATCCTAAGAAAAAAAGAAAATCTTACGAGGAAGCCCACTATAGTTAATAGTAAAACGAGAGCCTCTCTGCTTACGATGGGGCCAGGCTCGGCTACCTCCCTATGCCGTGTCCACACCTGGCCAGCGGCCAGCCCTCACTAGGCCACATCACCTGGGCTGCGCTCCTACTCCCAAATCCGAAAGCAGCCCCAAAGCTGTCTGATGCATGAGGGGTCAGGGGGCCGGGGATGGTGAGAAAACCGGCACCGACCAGTGACTGCTGTCAGACCTGTCTGGCAAGCAGGCCGTCCCTCAGTCCAGCCACCCCCAAGGGGGCAGCAAGAGCCTCCGCAGG